CTTGCTGTACTATACATATACCACATCTAACACAATAACACATAACACATAATAACAATAACACATAACACATAATAACAATAACACATAACACATAATAACAATAACACATAACACATAATAACAATAACACATAACACATAATAACAATAACACATAACACATCTATAATAACACATCTGTTATTCATTTTGCCTTGCTATGTGTTGATATGTTTTATTAGTTTTTTCTGTAGTAGTTTATCAGATATTTAAAGTACTACTGTACTATGTCTCATTCTTAGCATGCTCTAGATCACAAATATAAAATCAACAAATTTCCAAATTTAACTTCTGTAATATTTCCACATTTAGTCATGTACTGTATGATAATATCTTAATTATTAGGAAGAATCATTGTCTCTTCAAAGGGATACTGAGTCAATTAAAGAAGTTGAGGTATATCTCACTAGTTTGTATCAAGAATGGATAAGTCACTCTTCTTTGTATTAATTCATAGGAAGAACCACTTCCACTTGATAAAAAGTTGACTATATTGATCTCTCAGTTTCATAAAATAAAAGAAGAAAACAAAGAGTTTTCAGGCAAATTATCAAAAATGAAGGTTGATTATTTGAGAAAACTTCATAATAATACTGATTCAGGTTAGTTTAGTCATAAACATTATGCACAGAACAGAATTGGAAACTGGGATCACGTGTGAGCTCACTATGCATTGAGTTGGCCAGAACTGGGCAGCTACAATCCCTATTTGTACTGTTGACCAGTGTTGAGAAACTCTAGCAACTATACATTTGACAACAAGGCAGAGCCTTTATTGGGCTATGGTATTTTAGTGCGTATATATGTAAGTTTCAAAAATTAATGGCGTGATAAAATAATAGTAAGCCAGGACACCATTACTCTCAAACTATTTTATAGATATGCATATGCAACATAATAATTGTCTTAAGGCTGGTTTATGTTAGTCCTGATGTTACATTGGCGCTGGTATAGAATGTGGTTCTATTCTAGTTGAAAACATGCATCAAAAGGTCAAATTTCCACGCTTTTGATTTAAAATTGATGGTACACGTACGTTGGCCTAATGTTATAT